CGCTTTCGCTGCTTCGCCTTCCACAGGTACATTGCATTCGTTCGGCCGGCGATCATCGCCACAATTTCGTTTGGCTTGAGAAAGAAGAACAGCTCCGCCTCGGGAATGAGCCCCTGGCCGTGCATCTGCCGGGCAATCTGCCACAGTGCCTCCCTCATCTGGTGCTGGTGCTTCATCAGTATCGACTTGGTGTTCTCGCGGTGGCCGACGGCGTTCCGGCACATCGGCAGCAGGTGCCGCTTGATCACCCACCGCCTGAGGGGCACTAGCGGCGTCTGCAGCTCCTCCAGCAGTACGTCCACCGACTTGGCATCCTCTCTGGCCAGAGGTCTGTCGAGGTCGGTTTTGCTCTTGATGATCGACTGAAAAACGGGTTGGTTGTTATTAGCATAAATTGTGATAAAAACGTATAAAAATTCCCACGTACCTTGATCACCTGCACCGCAGGCGTAGGCTTCATCACCAGTGGCAGGTGATAGGCATCCGTCTCGCGGTGGCCTCGATGGCCGTGCTTCCGCAGAAACTCCTCAAACAGCTTCGCCGCCGCCTCTTCTCCCTTCGAACTGCCGTCCTGCAGCACCTTGAGCGCCTCCTCGTCACTCATCGCTGCAAATGCCTCTCGGTTCTTCAGCGCAGCGGCAATACGCCGCAAAAAACTGGGCAGCTCCGCGCTGANTTGAGCGCCTCCTCGTCACTCATCGCTGCAAATGCCTCTCGGTTCTTCAGCGCAGCGGCAATACGCCGCAAAAAACTGGGCAGCTCCGCGCTGACCACGTCATTGCAGTGCGACAGCAGCAGATTGTGATCGGCCTCAGTGCGGGCCCGGTCCGCGCCTCCAATGGCCTTCATCAGCAGCATCGACTTGACGGTGGAGCCCAGCAGGGTGGCGCTGTGAATCTGACCCTCGTCAAAGTTGGCAAAAACCTTCTTGAGGACCAGGTTGAACTTCTCCATAGAGAGGGGGGCGTCCTTCAATGGCAAGGCAATCTCGCCTCGGTTCTCCCCAATGACCGCCTGCTTCAGCGCCGGTATCCGCTTCGGAGCCTTGACCAGCATCTGGTAGCTCTGGCCGAGCATCTTCACCTTCTGACCGGCGCTCGCCTTCAGGCGGCTCCGTGAACGGCGAAAGGACTCCAGCACGTCCGGGTCGGTGATTTCGTGGCCAAAGAAGGCCTGGACGAGGGCGCTGATGATGCCACTCTCCGGGTACTGGTTGAACATGCCCTGCACAAAGTCCATCTGCATGTTGAACATGACCTGGTTGTAGAGGACGCCCATTACCGGTCGGTAGGGGTTGTAGGCGGCCTCTGTCCAGCCCATCTGCTGAATTTGCTGACGCTGTTCAGCAAAGAAATTTGTTTTAAAAAATCTCCAAAAAAGAACTCCAACTTACAATGAACAAGCACTCGGTGGTCATGAAGAAGACGCCCATCCACGTGCAAGCGCCAGGCAGAATTTCGCCCCAGTGATAGCGACTGAAGATCTCAAACTCGCTCATGTGCGGCGAATCGGTCTCGTGCATCAGCTCGTAGGGGGTGAAGCCAGTGTCCAGGTTGGTGATCGGTCGCGCCTGGAAGATGTACAGCTGACCACTGGGCACTAGGCCCCACTCAATGTCGCGCGGAGAGCCGTAGTGAGCGGCGATCTATTGAATAGAGAAAAATGATAAGTTTAAGTAATTTTACAATTTTCAAAGTACCCCAACTGACCTGCAAGGCCACCTCCCCCAGGCGCAGCAGATCCTCATCTGCGACGCTCTGATTCTGCAGTCCATCCGCCAGCTGGTCGATGCGGACGCCATCCTCCAAGGTAGCACCTGCCTCCAGGTTGAGTCGCGTGACGATTCCCTTCCGCCCCAGCACCTTCCCCGCCACCGCCGGCCGGACCCTCCTCGCCGCCTGGTACGAGTTGGCGGCAATGTCCACCGCCAGGGTGAAGGTGTCCGGCTCGGCGGCCGCAGACACCACCGACTCGCCCAGGCCGTAGTTGGCCGTCACCGTCATCCGCCGCTCGTCGCCGCCCTCCACAGGGTCGGCGGTGAAGAGGACGCCCGCCGCCGAGCAGTCGATCATTCGCTGCACGACGACGGCCATCGGCGCGGCAATCGGTTGTCCATAGCCGCGCTTGTACTGCACCGGCACGTAGGCAAATTGCGACGCCCAGCAGGCGACCACGGCGCGGCAGATGCGCTCCAGCGGCCCGCCCACGCCCAGGTAGGTGAGCATCTGCCCGGCGGCGGACATCTCCGCACTGTCCTCGCCCACCGCAGACGAGCGCACGGCAAAGACCACCTCGCCCGAGGTGGCCCAGTCGGCGCCAAACTCCGCCGCCATCTTCTCTCGCAGCGCCTCGACAATCGCCGGCTTCAGTGGTTGGCTGGCGAACCACTGTACAAAGAGGTCGCACTTTGCCTGCAGGTTATCGCCGTGATAGGCGTCGGTGGCCAGTTCGGCGACTCGCTGGCTGAAGCCTTCTATGGAGGCGGTTTGGGCTGCGTAGGCGATGCTGGTCACCACTACTGCGTTCGGTACTTCCCAGGAAGGCGGTGGCTCGGCAGATGATGAAACGGATGATGAATTGGGTTGCTGCTGTTGTTGCGAGAGTCTCTTTAGCTGTGCCAGTGATGAGCCCTTTCCACCGGTTAGCTCTGTCAGTTTGGCCGAGTCTTCAAGCAGGCTAACGACCAGTGTGTCGGCAAACTCTGNAGTGATGAGCCCTTTCCACCGGTTAGCTCTGTCAGTTTGGCCGAGTCTTCCAGCAGGCTGACGACCAGTGTGTCGGCAAACTCTGTCTTCACATCAGTGCACTGATTGGGCTCGAGTTTTCGTTCGACCTCATCAAAGATGCGCTCATCGATGAAGCACATGCCTGTAAATGGTAAAAGTGATTACTAAAAAATCCCAAACCTTATCATTCTTTTCTTACCATCCACCCCATTGACCTTCACCAGTCGACTGTGGCCCTTGTGCGGCGACACCTCAAACTTGAGTCGAGTCTGCTTTGACAGTTTGACGGTAAACTCAAAGGGCTCAGCCTCCTCTTTGGTGAGCATTTGCGCAAACGATTCTGCAGTCAGTGATTTGCAGCTCTTCAGAACATTAAAGTTCTCTCCGCGCTTGCTCGAGTATCCGTAGAGGTAGCTAAAGTTTCCCTGCGTGACGAGGCCTACGCTGAAGCCGGTGCCCTCAACGTCGAATCCAGACATCTTAAGGACCTTTCGAGGTGGCAGTTCTTTGGTGGGCAGAAATCTCCGCCCGACGGCGCCGAGAAAAAACAACTCGCGCTCCTCTTCACTCTCCACTTGGAAGGTTCCCTTGATCTGACAGAGCTGCTCCAGCTTATTCTCCAGCAAATCGGCAACTGATTCCACCGATCCAGTGGCATTCTTCAACTGATTAGCCAGGCATTTGACATTAAAGTGTCGTNACTCTCCACTTGGAAGGTTCCCTTGATCTGACACAGCTGCTCCAGCTTATTCTCCAGCAGATCGGCAACTGAGTCCACCGATCCAGTAGCATTTTTCAGCTGATTAGCCAAGCACTTGACATTAAAGTGTCGCTGATGGTCAAAGAGCTTTGAGTAGAAGAGGCAGAGAAAGCGAATCCTCACAAAAACTAGCTCCTCCTCATCGTTTCGCTTCAGGTAGCCGCGGTACTTGATGCGGCCGATTTTGTTGCTTTGCAGCGATTCAAAAGCGAATCCACTGGCTCGATACTCGTGCTCATTGAAGTCGACCTCTGATGACTCCTCAAGGGTGTAGGTGTCGCCTTTGTCATCGCGGAGAGTGAAGCTAACCACAACCTGGTCTTTGGATGCCTCAAACCGACATGAAATGGGCAGTGGTCGTCGCTTGAAGTACACCTCAATGGTGGTTTTTTCGCCAGTGTTGCTGCCATGGATGAAAAGGTCTTCTCCCTTATCCTGTAAAGAGAAAAGTTGACATTAGTTTGAGAAAAACTAAATGACTTTAAGAGACAGGAACCTTTTTAGGGTTTGCATACTCAATCTCTTCGGGAAATGGACTAAGCCCAGAGTCTTCAAAGGTGTCATTCCAGATGTTGTGCAAGTCTAGACGACTTTTCATCAAGGGAGTCTCTTTGGCATAGTTCTTCAGTTGATCGGTCCAATCTAGTTGCGGCATTTTGCAAAATCAAATCTAAAAGAAAAAACGTGTGAAACTGAAAGTGACACTTGACAAATGAAGGAGACACTTACCTAAAACCTGCAGTCAGTTTATATGTCAGCTTCAGCTTGAGTAAACAAAACTGGGTTACTGTTTCGAAAAAAGCAACTGTTTGTTGCAGCCAGTAGTCGTCGATTAGATAAGCGGTTGTTGATGAAATGATGCTAATTGAATGTGTAAATATTTGGCGGTAATTTGTGGGTGATGATAATGAACAGGCTCGGTTGCAGAGGCATTTGGGGTACACTCGGAGATACCGATGGTAACATGGCAGTGATAAGTTGACAGTCTGTTCCTTGACGACGACGACGACCAGACAGTGTCTGGCTAAAAACACGGCACGCAATACCGAGTAAGGTTTCTCGAGTGATTACGGCAAAAACAATAAAAACTGCAGTAGCAAGATGAAATGATTGTGCTAATAGCGGATGAAAAATGGCGCAAAAGATGATTCAATTAACTATCTTCTCTTGTTGCTCTTCTGATGCAAAAATGATGATGATGAGTTGGCGGCAGTGGAATCAATTAGACAAGCGACCACCATCTGGGCACATCTCCTCAACACCGCACCCCAAACATCAACAGCCATATGGCAGACAGAGGGAGAGAGAGAGAGAGCGAGAAAGAGAGGAGAGAGAGGAGAGAGGAGGGAGGTAGTTAGGAGAGAGAGAGAGAAGGGGACGGATTCCCAATCCGACAGGACAGAATCACCCCATCATTTTTGTCGCAGGTTCGTCGGCCCAAACAGCTTTTTTCCGAACTCAAAACAAAGCCGGTGTCGACACCTGGCGGACAGTGGGAGAGCTAATGGTATAAACAACAACTCGAGCAAACAGAACAGAACAGAACTGCAGCGCAATCTTCTAAAGGCTGCTGCAGTTGCCGTACACTTGCGAAGACACCCATCACCACCGTCATCACTCATTACCACCACCATTCTCTGCCTTATCTGCCATTTGGATGATCATCTCTTCTACTGGTCAACTGTGTTCGCTAATCTACTGATACAAATTTCTACTATTGTTGAATGTGTGCGTCTTTAGCTGCTGTTGCTGCTGCTGTAGAACGTATCGTTGGCCCAACACCAGGAAGACTTCGGCAGTAGAGGCAGCGAAGAAGGATGGGCAACCAACTGGTGAGCTCGGTGAAGGTGGTCATTCGCCCCATTGACTACTACCTCGCCGAGGTGCCCGAGTTCAAGCTGAAGGTCAACCTCGGGCAGACGCAGTTCTTCAAGGTGGCCCTCTGTCAGCACGGCAACGAGGGCGACGTGGTGGTGAAGGTCCTGCCCCATGAGGATCCCTCCCTCCTGCTGGAGGCGTACAAGCGCGAGCTGGAGGCCCTGGCCCGGCTCACCGCCGGCAATGTCTCCATCGCCGCCTTCCGGCTGGCTGAAATCCGTCCGAACTTTGCCTTCATCGTTCGTCAGTACGTTCGCTTCAGCCTCTACGACCGCCTCCTGACGAGGCCCTTTCTGACGCACCTGGAGAAGTGCTGGCTGGTCTACCAGATCTTCAGGTGCATGGCCTGGTGCCACCAGAAAGGCATTCGTCATGGCGACTTGAAGCTGGAAAACATCCTGGTCACATCAAGCCTCTGGATCGTCATTGCCGACTTTGCCACCTACAAACCAGCCAGTCTGCCTGATGTAAGTTCTAACCCTCATTTTGAATTGTTTTCAAATGACACCCTTCTCTTCTAGGACAATCCTTCCTTCTTCAACTACTTCTTTGACACGTCTCGACGTCGGTGCTGCAACATTGCCCCGGAACGTTTCATCTCCTCAAGCCTCACCGGACTGGAGCAGATACAGGTGGCCGCTGAACAACAGCAGCCAAACGCCTCCGCCTCTTCCTCCTCCTCTGGCCTTCTTGGCCTCGTCTCTGACAGTGATATTCGCCTGACCGCCTCGATGGACATGTTCAGCATTGGCTGCATTCTCGCGGAAATCTTCTCCGACCGGGTCCTTTTCGACCTGAGCGGTCTGCTGCACTACAAGGACGGCAGCAAGGCGACCAACCTGGCGTCACAGCTGAAGCAGATCGACAATGAGACCGTCCGGGAGCTGGTGGCCAACCTGACCAGCCTGGCGCCCGCAAGTCGAAAGTCCTGCGAGGCGGTGCTCTCCGAGCAGCGAGGAAACCTCTTTCCCGCCTACTTTGATAAGCTGTACGGTCTGATGAGAACGCTGGTTCGGTTGCCACCGGACGCGAAGATACTCTACCTGGCACAGGAGCTGGAGCAGTACCTGCCGCTGCTGCTGGAAGAAAATCCACGAGGGGTGCTAATTCTCCTGACGATGATCACCTCCTCGCTGCGCAGTCTGATGCACATTCACTGCAAGATTGAGGCGCAGCGACTGATCTGTCGGCTGGTCGCCAGTGAACCAGCCTCCCTCTCGCCCTTTGTCACCGACCGACTGATTCCCTACCTGGCCAGCTGCCTCCAGGACGGCGACCACCGAGTTCGCGGGGAGGCGGTCCTGTCGATGACGCACCTCCTCGAGCAGGTGACTCGCCCACCGCCCAGTGATAATAACCTCTTCACCGACTACCTCCTGGAGATACTGGTGAAGGAGGTGGCCTCGGACAAGTCCACCTACGTGCGTCTGTGCCTCGCGCGCTGCATCGGCCGCCTTTCTCAGCTGGCGCTGCACTTTCTCAACCAGTCGGTGGACCACAACTACGACGAGGAGCTCAGCCTGCTGCACAACTACTTTCAGAACCTCGTCTCGCAGCTGCTCACCGACAGCAACAACTGCGTCCGGCGGACGCTGCTGATGACGCCGGAGAATTGCTCCCACCTGTGCACCTTCTTCGGCCAGCAGAAGACCAATGAGGTCATTGTCAGTCACATCATCACCTTCCTCAATGACAAGGTGCGTTGAGCAAAATGATGTTTTATGTTCAGTTTAAACTAATTACTTTGTTTTGTTTTTCTCTGCAGAACGACTTTCAGCTGCGCCTTGCCTTTTTCGATAACATCATCGTCATTGCCTCCTATCTAGGCGTGCAGTGCTCGCCCATTCTCTATCCTCTGCTCCAGCAGGGACTGTGCGACGCGGAGGAGTTGGTCATCTGCAAGGCGATCAGCTCGGTGGCAAGTCTGACTGAACAAGGTAATGATTTTACTAGAATTGATTGATTGACTTATCATTTTCCACAATATTTTCCTAGGTCTCCTCCAGAAGAATGTCATCTACGACCTTCTGAGGGAGATTCTGCCACTGCTCTATCACCCGAACCAGTGGATCACCCACTCGATTGTGGAGCTGTTCACCACCCTCTCCGAGCACCTGTCTGTGATTGACCTGCACTGCAAAGTCCTCCCCATGATATCGCCCTTTCTGGCCCGGCCGCTGCACTCACTGGGCAACAAGTACCTCATACTCGACTCGCTGCACTGCCCCGTCTCGCGGCACATCTTCGACATTATCCTCGACAGCAAGGACAGCCACGGCATGTTCGAGGGGCTGCGGAATAAGACGGCCAAGCTGCGCAACACCAGCTACAAGCGCCTCGAGGCGGAGAACATTAAGCCGTTTGTGGAGCGGCAGCTGCTGGCGCTGGCCGACCTGCTGCTGATCATCCACCGCAACCGCCGCAACTACCTCAACCCGGCGATGAACCGCGAGGAGGTGGGCGGGCAGATTGTCTACAACAACTACGACAAGCTGATGCGCTCGCTCAACCTGGTGGACTCATTCTCCGCCGACGACACCAGCAACAGCGCCGCCAACCAGGAGTGGCAGCACATGTTTGGGCCACGGGGCACCAACCGACACATGCTGGAGGAGGGCGGACTGGGCGTTCCGGGGGGTGATCTGGCAGGGGCCGACATGGCCGACTGCGAGAACGCAGAGGAGGCCCGGGAGACGCAGTACATCGACTTTGAGTGTCCTCCCTGCGGACGAGAGGTGCGCGCGCTGAAGCNGCCGGCATGGCCGACTGCGAGAACGCAGAGGAGGCCCGGGAGACGCAGTACATCGACTTTGAGTGTCCTCCCTGCGGGCGAGAGGTGCG